CCATCTCATGGCAAATCCATCTCATGGCCAGCAGCAGGTTCGTCTCTCATGGCCAGTAGTAAGTCCGTCTCTCATGGCCAGTGGCAGGTTCCTATTCGAGATGTGGGGAAGAGGTAAGGATGTATGTGTAGACAGAGAGAATTCAGACCTTGAGCATATGATGGTGACTAAAGATTATCTCAAGCTCATCCACGTTCCATCTATGGCAGATGCGTAATTTGTCGCCCAAGAGACTTCTCCCGTCTCTAATTTCCTTCCTCTCCCGCCGAAGGCCTCTTCCAGCGAGCCATCATGCAGTCGGGGGCGGCGCTGTGTCCCTGGGCGCTCCGGGAGGACCACCGGCAGGTGGCCTTCGGCTTCGGCCGCATGGTGGGCTGTCCGGGCGACCGCGCGGACGCCGCCAACAGCACGGCGCTCGTCGACTGCCTCAGGGACGTCCCCGTCGAGCAGCTGATGGCCGTGACGCCCTACATCACGGTGAGCGAGCGTCCTTCTGGACGGCTTATTGGAGTGTGTGTGTGTGTCTATGTGCATTCATGCGTCCCTGGATCAGTAAACGGACAGAAGGAAACGTGACCCTCGCCTCCGCCCACAGCCCTCCCCGTACGTCCTGACGCCCCGCGTGGACGGCGAGTTCCTGCCCGCCCACCCCGCCACGCTGGTCAGGGAAGGCCGCTACAACCGCGTCGACGTCCTCTCCGGCGTGACGCGGGACGAGGGCGCCTTCAACGCCAGAGGTGAGGGCCGGCGCCTGGCTCCGTCCTCGCAGCCACAAATACCATTTCAATCATTTATAAAGACTTCCTTTCCCCGCATATGCTGCACAGCATTTCGCCACCTGGCGGTCGAACTTTGAAGTAAAAGGGAACCTCTTTCTCGCTTCCTCCTCAGCGTTCGTGGAGGACGGCGTCATGGACAGCATGATCCAGAACTTCAGCCTCGTGGGCCCCCCCGCCCTCGGCTTCGAGGCCTGGGACGACGACCCCGAGTACCTGGCCCGCCTGGCCTTCCACAGGTACCTGGGGCCCATGGAGTTCGACCTGACCAGGATCGACCCTCTCGTCAAGGTAAGACCAGCAGGGCATCGCCAGACGCCACGACCTGAGTGAGAAATGCTCTTTGGAGCGACTGCGCCTCAGTGTCAGTACCTCGGCCTGACCCCGACCCTCCTCCCCCTCCCCAGCTCCTCGGCGACAGCTTCTACAGCATGTGCCACGTGGAGGCCGTCGAGCACCACGCGCGCGACGCCGCCTTCGGCTTCCGCGCCTTCGCCTACGAGCTGCAGCACCGCGGGGAGCACGCCTTCTCCGACCTGTTCCGGGGCCCTCGCCCGCGTGGAACCTGGCCTGTGAGGAGCCCTTCCTCGGGGACAAGAGGTTTTCCTGAAGTTGTTGAGATTAAAAGCAGGTTTGGATAAGGTTTTTTACTGTTTCATTTTGCTCGTCTCTGACGGATTTAGCTCTGGCGGCGACCGACACAAAGGCTTCTCTCGCACACAGACGTGGGCGACTCGGACGACCTGCAGTACCTCTTCTCCTTCGATAAGCTCAACGTCAGCCTGACCAAGGAGGAGGACCTCTTCGTGTCCCGGATCATGGTGGATCTCTGGACCAACTTCGCCGCCACCGGGTGAGAGGAAACGCTTCCCAGGGATGTCCAAGGACGGGGATTTGCGAGTCAGTCTCGGCAGCTGATGTGGCACACTACTGCACACCAGCTCTTTGGGAAACAATGAGCTTCGTAATTGCAAATATGTCGGCAAAAATGCTAATCCACTAAACGATCTCCCTCGCAGGAACCCGACGCCCGACCTGTCCCTGGGCTTCAAGTGGACGCCGACCGAGGCCTCGAGCCTCTCCTACCTCGGCATCACCTCCGCCCCCGCCATGAAGGTCTACGACAGGGAGCAGGTACGGCGCTCGGGCCTCGAAATCAAATCGGGTGGGGGGGGGGGGGGGGGGGCGAGCACGCTGATGCGAGCCCATTCTTTTAGCAAGAAATCGGTGCCAAAAATTCCCCATTTTATGCTTGCTGAAACCAATGTGGACAATATAATTCATATTCTTTGCATTACATAGCTTATCAGCAGAAAGCGTTTCGTATGCTGTCAAACAACGCCCGTAATTTCCGATTGACATGTCCAAAATCCCCCTTGCATAGATGTCACATGCACTTTCGCCTCTTTCAGGACATCGAATTCTGGAGGAACCTGCCGAGGAAGATGAACAAGCTGCTGTACCCGGACCGCTTCTCGCAGAACAGCAACTAGGACGGCTGTTCCTCCGTTTCCGAGCGCTGTGACGCTGTGACGGTGCTCCTTGTTGCAGCTTCAATAATCAGGATATCAAGCATATATATTGTTTTACTTTACCTCCAATCTAACGTTCACATTGGACACTAAATGTAAAAAAGAAAAACAAAAACATCTGAGGCATGTATTATATAAACAAGGTAATTTAGGCCTACTTCGAAAAGGAGAAGGTACAAACCCCTATTCACAGGTACAAAGGTACAAACTAAGGTACAAACCCCTATTCACAAAATACATACAAAAACACGTGCCGAATAAATTAGCCAAACGATTAAAACACGTCCCAGCGAGTGTTAGGCAAGCAAGCAAAACAATCTTCGACCAAAGGGTCCTGCAAAGTCACAGCCTTGCCAAAAGAATTTCCTTCCCTGACGACTGAAACAAACACTGAAGGACGAGTGTGACGTTCCCCTCGATTTATCACAACGTTTTTTCCTATTCTTTACTCCTACAGACACCAACAAACACCTACACACAGCATAGGGTTATCTTCCTTTTGATGTGATATATATATAATATATCACTGAAACATCACCTAAAATCTCCCTCAGTGCTGTGTCGGGTTAAACCGTTGATGACACATTCCGAGAGTAGCAATAGATCAGTTTACCAAAATAAATAATCTTGGACACTACATGCAAGGATGATATAAAATTGCGTTGAAGATCTGCAATGTCTGAGGATTTCGAATCACCTCAAAATTATTGTTTTTTCTTAAATATGTCTCCTGTAACTCTGCTTCGGTATAGACACTGCAGCCTTTATAAAAATAGTGATAGTAATAGTGATGATGATGATGATGATGATGACATTAATAGTAATAACAATATTAACAAAAAGCAGTAGTAATAACAACAATGATAATAAGAATTATGATGAGAATGACATTGTTAATGTTAATATCAATAATAATAATAACAACAAAACAACAATAATAGCAATAAGAATAAATAATGATAATATATGAGAGCGACAACTGACAACCAATGGACGTGAGGTGCAGATGGAACTTAAATCTATCCTCCTCTGCGAGAGAGTCAGGCCATAAAAGCTTTTGTATCTACTCAATAACAATAACATTTTCCTGTACCAGCATGCAAGCCCATATTATAATACCATGGAATAACACGTCCCGACCTTCCGAAAGTAAACACTGCTTACCTCGCCTTACCTCTTCCTTGCCACCCTCTCCCAGGGACCATGAATATAAACGTCAACTCACTCTTGTTATGATAAAAGTGTAGAACAGACCTGATTTCCATTGCTGTTTATGATGTGAATGAAAGAAAAGTAAGTAAGATAAATCTTTATTGATTTGTATCTATATAATCATCATCCCTCGTTAACAAAACGGTTTGTTGATATGTTATGAGTGATATCTCCCTATTTAAAACTTTCCATGCTCAGTTCTCTCTCTCTCTCTCTCTCTCTCTCTCTCTCTCTCTCTCTCTCTCTCTCTCTCTCTCATCTCTCTCTCTCTCTCTCACACACATACAACACACCACACACACACACACACACACACACACACAATCACACACACACTAACACACACAACACACACACACACACACAACACACACACACATATACCACAAACACACACCACACCGCACCACACATATGCCTTATATATTATTGAAATGGAAACTAATCAACTGTAGCGTTGATTTGTGACGATGATGATGTTGATGAGGGGATTATTATGATAGAATATAATATATACATATATATATATATATATTTTATATATACAGAGTATTATAACCATATATTATTATATTACACTTATGTAATGATTGTGTGTTGTGTGTGTGTGTGTGTGTGTGTGTGTGTGTGTGTGTGTGTGTGTTGTGTGTATGTGGTGTATTGTGCCGTGCTTGCGTGCTGTGTGTGTGTTGGTGTGTGTGTGTGGTGTGGTGATGTGTGGTGTTGTGATGTTGTGTGTATAGTTGTGTGTAGTGTGTTGTGATGTGTGGTGTTCTAGTGTGTAATAACATTATATATTTCATTAGTGTGATGTAGTGTGATGTAGTTATAGGTAGTGGTAGTATTTATAGTGATTAATTTTTGATATGTGTTTTATTGATTTGATCGACTAGCTCTACAATTACAACAACACTACACATATTAAATTATAATATTAGTGTGATTGGTATTTAGAGAGTTCGTCTGGTTGTCTTTTTTTTGTTAGTTATGTTAAGTAGTTAAAGAAGCTACGTGTGTGATGACCTGAAGTGTGTGTATGGACTCGCTAACTGTAATGTAAATTTTGCGTTGCGCGTTACAGTGTTGTTGAGACGGTCCTAGAATCATGCATCGTTTAATCCCTTATTAAGTCTATGAGGAAGGTTGTGGTCGGTGAATATGAAGCCGTGTTGATGTGTCGTGTTGTGTGTGTTGTGTTGTGTCGGATAGAGTGTGTGTGTGGGGTGTGGCAGCATAAGGTTGTAAGGTGGCAGAGTGTGTGATGTACTTGGCAGGTATGCATGTAGTTTCGTGTGGTGTGAGTGTTGCCGCTCGTGATAGAGTGTTGTAGAATAATAGTGAGTTTACATCGATACATCGAATACTCAATAAAGCACTAACGATTAGATAATTGCCTATATGACCCTGACATTGATATATATTTTCTGAATTGGGTCTTAATGATTAAATCTATTTGTTCTGTTAACTCACGAGATTAAAATCTATCAACTTATATATTTTTATAGTAGAGTGATGAGCTATATATTTAAGCATGGAAACGCATTAGGTTATAAGGTCACCTTATGCACCCATTTTTTGTTCTTATAAATTTTTTTAGTGTTAACCTATACAACATATTAACACAGCACCACTAAACACTCACACATACACAGTCACAACCCACACACACACCACACACACATAATATTAATTTAATATAAATTCAATTAATAACGGTATTATATATAGTATTTATGATTAAGGTATATATACTAGTATATGATAGTATTATATTATACCTTATATATATGTGTGATGTTGTGGGGTGTTTGTGTGTGTGGTGTGTGTGTAAATGTATTTATATATAAATATGGTTATAAATGAATATAATATATTATTTTATATTATAGTATATTATATAAATATAGTTTTAGTAACTATATATGTGTTGTGGTCTGTATGTGTGCCCTCTGTGTGTGTGTGTGTCTGCTGTGCTGTATGTGTGTGTGCGTGTGTGTGATGTCTGTGCGTCATGTGCTTTTGATGTATGTGTAGTTGTGGTGGTTGTGACGGGAGAGCTATGATGTGTCTTGCAGTGTGTAAAAGTGATATTAGATAGAATAGGAGTGGAATGTGTAAGAATCGGGTGGGGGTGTATGTGTGTGTGTGAAAAGTGTGTGTGTGAATAAATAGATTGAGAAGGCAAGTGTTTGTTGTTTGAGATGTGTGCACCGAGAATAGACGGAGTGAGTGTTGTTGGTAGTGCTCGTGTTGTTATGTGTGTGAATGTGTGGTGTGGTTGATGTGGTGTAGATGGTGGTGTGTGTGTGCGATGTGATATGTACAGTTGAGTGAGATGTGGTGTGTGTGGATTAAACTTAGAGATGTGTAGGTGTGGTGTTTTGTTAGTTCTAACACGAAATTGTATGACGTGATGGGCAATGATAAGACCCGTCCGTAAAGATATAGTTTAGAGAGCCTAAAAGACCAATTAGAAGAGAAGAATTTTATTTTTTAATGTGCGTTGTGCTGTGTGTTGTAATATAGTTATGTGTGTGGGTGTGTGGATAGTGTGGTGTGCATAGTTGTATATGTATATATATAAATATAAATAAATAAATATATATATATATATATATATAGATTATTATAGATTCTATATTTATATAATATATATATAATAATATATATGTAACTATATGTTGTGGTGTGCCTTGTGTGTGATGGATTGAAGTTTGATGATAAAATAAAGTTAGTGTGTGTCCCATTTGCTCTTATAAATCCTTGTCCGCATGTG